CCAACACCGTCACCCATCACCCGCCGCAGGTCGACTCCGGCCCCATGGACATTTCCCTCATGCAACCCGCGCTGCCTCCGATCCCAGCGCCCATGGCGAACACTCGTGAGTCCAGCTCTATTGTTCCCACGGTCCCGCGTAAGTTGATGACAAAATCACACGCGGTGAATATATTGAGCTGGAGGATCTCCTCCCAGAGAATGTGGGCGCAGGGTCCGAGCCCTTGGAGCTCAGTACCGCCAACGGAGATGGCCGGCGTGTGTCCCTCAATTTATGTGTGACTAAGAAGCGCTCCATTGTCGACTTCACTGCCTGGCTGGAAGCCTACACAATCTACATGGCCTGCGCACTGAAACATGTGACATTCCGAGCACTGGAGCTGGTGACGTACCAGCACATTATCTGTACTGCCAACCAGCAGTTTGCGACCCCAGCTGTACTGGGGTATGACCGTGCCTTCCGTGCAGCGGTGGCAACAACCTCGGCTCGTTGGGACGCAATCGACCAAAGCCTCTGGAGCCTGCACCTGATCCGGGCACCCCGACCATCATGTCCGCGCTGCACAACGCACCACAGCCGTGACCGTTGCCCACAGTATTTGGCAGGGCCACATGCTCCAGCTGGCACCAACACCAGCCGTCCTACGCAGCCATTTCTGGCCGGGGCGGGCAGCACCCGCCAGATCTGCCTCAACTTCAACCATGGCCGCCCTTGCCAACACCAGCCCTGTGAACGCTTGCACGTCTGCTCAACCTGCGGCGACCGGGGTCATCCCGCCGCTCGCTGCACCAACGACGGTCGCCGGGGACCCCGCCAGACGGACAAGCCCGTCGCAGCGAAGTAGTCTCCCCACGCCTCTGTACATAGCCCGCCTAATGACTCTTTTGCCTCGTATTTCTAATCGTGTCCTCTCTGACTTTATCCTTAATGGCTTGCAACACGGGTTCCCCATTGGCCACTCTGGTGCTTCTGTATCTATCATCTCTGGCAACCTCCCAACTGCCATTGAACATGCTCAGTTTGTACAACAACAAATTGCTGACCGGGTCCGACGTGACGAATCGGCCGGTCCTTTCTCTGTCCAGCCTTTCCACCCATTTGTATGCTTTCCGCTCGGCGTAGTGCCCAAGACCAACGGGAAATTCCGCCTCATTCACCACCTGTCTTACCCTGACCGTATGTCTGTCAATGATGGAATGAACAAGGATTCATTCTCCCTACATTATGTCACAGTGGACGATGCCATTGAGCTTCTGCAACGTCAAGGTACCGGTGCCTTGATGGCGAAGCTCGACATACGCAATGCATTTCGACTGGTCCCGGTCGCACCCACTGCATACCGTTCGTTGGGTTTCCAGTGGCAGGGCCAATTCTACCATGGAAAAGTACTGCCATTCGGGCTGAGGTCCGCACTCTACTTGTTTAACTGCATTGCGGACGCACTTTGCCAGATAAGCTGTGAACTGTTCCAGGTTCCCAACCTCCTGCACCTTCTGGACGACTTCTGGCTCTGTGGCCCTGCACACTCAACGCTATGTGCGCAGCGTCTGAATGTAGTCCTCTCCGTATTCCGCTACCTGGGAGTTCCCATTGCCGACGAAAAGACAGTCGGCCCAACCTCCTGTCTCACCTTCCTGGGCATCGAACTGGACTCCGTCCAGAAAGTGGCTCGTCTCCCACAGTACAAGGTTGACGGCATCCGCTCCAGACTATTGGCTTTTCGCCAACGCCAATCCTGCCGTCTACGGGAGCTTGAACAGCTGTTGGGCAAGCTGAACTTTGCCAGCCGCGTCATCTCGCCGGGCCGTACATTCATGCGCCGACTGTATGATGCCACGCGCAAAGTTTCCAAGCCCTACCACCGCATCCGTCTCTCTCCAGAATGTCATCTGGACCTTCTTTGGTGGTCTCACCTACTCGATGGCTGGAATGGCAAGTCATTCTTCCTCGATCTCCAGGAGACGCTGGCCAGCGACATCCTGATAGAAACTGACGCATCTGGCGCCATTGGGCATGGCGCAGTTTACGGCACGCATTGGTTGGCTGACACCTGGTCACCACAACACACTCCGCTCTGCATTACGTTCAAGGAGTTGTATCCCATCTGCATTGCATGTGCTACGTGGGGCCACCAGTGGTGTCGCAAGCGTATCCGCTTCCATACCGACAACGAAGCTGTCGCCGCTGTTCTCAAGTCTGGCACCAGTCGCTGCCCTAATGTGATGTCACTCCTACGGCAGGTCTTCTTCATCTCCGCCAGAGGTAACTTTATGGTCACCGCCGGTCACATACCTTGAACTACCAACATCCTTGCTGACGCTCTCTCCAGGCAAGGTTTCAAGCGATTCCATTCGTGCCACCCTACCGCCGCTCACATGCCCACTCCCGTGCGTGCCCTTCCGTCCATTCCTGGGGAGACTTCGGCCGTGCCTTGCACTGCCGAGTGACGGAAGTCCACATGCAAACTGCCATGAAAGCTGGCAGCACCGGTCCTGGGTAAGCGCTGATCAGACAGACTGAGCCCACTTATTGTGGGTGCCAGAGCATAACCGAATGTCACCTATGTACCGACTGTACACTCAGTAACTCAATATCACTCTACTATTGTCCACAATCTGTGGCACCCCCTCTACAGTTAACAGTGAATAGGAGGTTCTCTATTTGGGGAGTCAACCTTGCTTACCAGGCTCCTCATACGCCTCATTCAGCCTCTCACACTCAGATGGCTCACTCAGCCTCGGCTCACTCAGCCTCTCAATACGGCTCACTCAGCCTCCGCAGCCGGGCCCTGCCCGGCTGCCTCCATACGGCTCACTCAGCCTCCGCAGCAGGGCCCTGCCCAGCTGCCATACACACACATTCACACAGCTCTAAGCTGTCACTCATTCGGAGCCTGGCAAAGCAATTGACAAACCCTCCTATTCCCCAAACTGGTTGCTCGTTGTGTGAGTGCAGCATGCAGATGCTTGTGTTAAATGATTTTTGCGCGCGCGCGCAAAATATGTTAACACAGAAGGTGCATGCTCTGTTCCCAACAAACACTCACGCGCTCATTGTTCTCCGAAGTCCACTGTTCCTGACTTCAGTTCTTGCTTTGTCCGCATTGGCAGTGGATTTCTTTCTCAACCCACCCACCCACTCCACTATTGTCATCATCATGTTTCCTATTCTAGTTCTCTCCTGTCGGTATCCATTATCATACCGGCCTACAATAACTACACTGATGCCGTCTACCGGCGAAACTCTGTAAATACATGGAGGGGAGTCAACCTTGCTTACCAGGCTCCTCATACGGCTCATTTAGCCTCTCACATTCAGACGGCTCACTCAGCCTCGGCTCACTCAGCCTCTCAATACGGCTCACTCAGACTCCGCAGCCGGGCCCTGCCCGGCTGCCTCCATACGGCTCACTCAGCCTCCGCAGCAGGGCCCTGCCCAGCTGCCATACACACACATTCACACAGCTCTAAGCTGTCACTCACTCGGAGCCTGGCAAAGCAATTGACAAACCCTCCTATTCCCCAAACTGGTTGCTCGTTGTGTGAGTGCGGCATGCAGATGCTTGTGTTAATCAATTATTATCAAAGAGCATTTTCTTGAAAATTTAAATTATCCAAAAGAAATCCTGGAAACCCCCAACCCAATGTGTCTATTGTATGTTTGTGCACGCCATAGTGAGCGGTACGTTGTGCGGGTGTCTGCGAGTCAGAGCATGGGTACGCCAGTGGCGTGTGCATGCATGTGTGCGCTTGTGTCTGACTGCGTGGGTGCACGAGTGCCCAAGCTGGGCGTGCGGGTTCACTTGGAGGTGCTTGCATATTTACGGGTGCAGGGGCTAACCGTGTACTTACCCTCGCATTCACACTCGAACTATCAAACACGTCCTGTGCCGCATGCTGATCAGGTAGTGGCTAACAGTGCTATGTATGTGTTGTACAGTGTACTCTCAGTTGACATGCCCCCTTTCGAACCCAGACAATCTTTTCGGGATTGGTCTATTATACCATTTTTCTGTCTTCAGGATGCTGAGTCGAATGATCTTGGTCCGAGGAATTTGAGGCGCTCCCTTTCTCCTTTATCCCCAATCGAACTCACGCTCTTCCACCGAAACTGGTTGACCCTATCAGAGGGGGATTTAGGAAAGGGTTACTAGAGCTCGCGCTATTCCGACGACTTGCTTTGACACTTGACTCCGGTGTGGGAGCAAACCCTTTCCTAAAAATATCATCGCCGAAGTCGCTACCACTGTTTCATAGAGGGGGAATTCTATGCAAAATGTCACTAAAAGCGCCATTTCGTTCTTATGAGCACGGATGAACACGATTGGCCCATATGTTGTAGTCTTTTGGATGCTGAGTCGACTGGTATTGTTCCAAGAAGGCTGCGATGCAGCGTTTGGCCCTTATTCCAAAATAAAACACAGGTGAGTAAGCGATCACGTGCTTGTCCGTACACCAGTCACCTGGTTATCGTGCCTGCAGGCTACAGCATTTTTTTACACCAAGGTTCAACTCAACAGTTCGAAGGGGGTTCAACTCGAGCGACAGGAATGCCCCCAAACAGACTGTAAGTTGTAAGGAGCTGAGCTGCTCACTTTGCACAAGCTGTGTAAGTCATTGCCTGCCTACTGTTTGTTTCACCTACTGCTTATTCTTCCAGCCACGAACCCCACATCGGAGAAGTCATTCAGTGCACTTCGCAGCCTGAAGACGTTTATTCGATCCACACAAGACCGTGTCAATCATCTTTCTCCAAGTTATGAGAATTTGTATACATCTATATATGGTGCTGTGCCACTATCACTCACGAATCTGTGACTTCGCCAAAAACATTTCAACTGATGATGTAATTGTATAACCTGTATAGGTACACTACATGTACTGGTACATTGTAGTAACTTGATTCGGTCATATCATTATAAGGTAAAAAATGTCTCACCGGACCAGTCAAAATGTGGTAGCTACAGCCCTGGCATATAATTATGATGCTGTGCACTATGTCCACATGCGCACATCAATATTCAGCACATGAGGACAAATGGTTTGGTGTCCTTGAAAAATACTTGATGTCACAAGAGTTTGTTGCAAAGTGCATTTGATTGGTGCATTCCACCTCCAAAGCTCACCTTATCTTGGACATTAACGTCGACACCCTTTTTTATCAGCAGCTCACACAGTGCTTTATGTCCACGGAACGCGCAGACATGTAGAAGTGATGCTGGTTCGCAGTCCTATTAGGTCACCATAGCAACAAACACACACATACACACATACACATTCTTACAATCACCTGCAAAGCATACAAGTTCCAGATTTTTCCATTCTATTGCAGCATAGTACCATACACATGTACTCGAAGTACAATTGACTTCTCCAAGAACACAGCATATCTCATCTTAGTGTGTGTGTCGTAGAGGACGGGGACATAGTAAATGCTGGCTGGAACTTGACACAAAATTCACAATAATACTTGCATCAGCGGTGCCTATGAACTGAACTCATAACCTCAGATTAGTGATACAAAGAGTACATAACCCCAAGAGTGTACAACTGACAACACAGCCTTTATCCACTGCTGCTACGCCAGAACTTCACATCACACGTGGTTCAAAAGGTTACGCTAGCAAGCAGTGCGAAGTGACCCGAGGAGAGTTGAACCCAAACCAGGATTGGGTTCAACCCTCTATCTATCATGCACAGTGTGAAAATAGTGTGTGCAAGCTCGTCAAGTGATGTGAAATTCTGCCATCTCATAACGTGTTACAACCAAAGCACAGTAGCACACTCTTGGGGGATCTGTACCCTTGGGAGAACTACAGTACCTTTTCCCTTATCGTTCACCTCTACTAAAGTATACCCACAGGCCAGTGGTTATGTTGTAGCTCTACTAAAGTATACCCACTGGCCAGTGGTTATGTTGTACCTCTACTAAAGTATACCCACTGGCCAGTGGTTATGTTGTAGCTCTACTAAAGTATACCCACTGGCCAGTGGTTATGTTGTACCTCTACTAAAGTATACCGTGTATACAGTATAACCTTCAACTAACGACCACCCCTTGGGGCAAGAAGAAATGGTCTTTAGTGGCAGGTGGTCTTTAGATAGAGGTTTGCACCGCTCAACCATATATGGATCCCATCTCTGATATGTATGTCAAAATGTAGCTAATATAATTTCCCACCACTTGCGCAATGCCATTTCTCCTTTGAGAAGTAGCATCGATCATAGAGCAGGTTCGAGCAGGTGCTCTCCAAGACGTTTCCTTTCATGTTTGCTCATGCGAGCACTTGAAACTATGACAGGTGCAGTTCAGCCCATTGTCAAAATGAGATTGCGTTCATTCGTGCAGCTGTAGTATCGAAAGAGTCCATTCAGGATAGAAAATCATGAAAATTTTCGAAGAAGGAACTTCGAACAACCTTTGATTTCCTGCACGGCCGTCGCTAGTTACAGGTCAAAAATCGACTTCGGGACAAGAAAAGGCGGCCGCTGGATGCGTTCAGCAGGTAGTCGCTTGTCACAGTGCATTTTTGTATACGAGACCGTCCGTGCCTGGTGAAGTGGTGTGTAGAACCAGGCTGGTCGCTAGTCACGGTGGTCTTTAGTACCAGGCTGGTCGCTACAGTCCATTCAGAAAAAAATGAACTTCTAGCTTTTGGCCATAAATGGGTCAAACGTTGAGTTTTTTTAGAATTTTTTCTGCAATCCCATATGGAATCCTCTTCCAATTATGTTTCTGAAGTTTTTTTGTCCAAAAAGCAAGCCATAGCAAGAATAGGATTTCGGCCAGGTTTTGCCCCAAAAGCACTGAATTGGGAAAAACCATCAAAATCCAGGCCGTTTGACCCCGCCTGCAACAGTGCATTCTGCGGTTCGAACCCCAGTTCAGGCACCCTTTTTGGACCCTTTTTCAAATTTCAAAGTTCGCAGCACTGCACTGTGTACGATGAAATCACGAAAAATCGCCAAATACGGGAGCTCGCCAGAGCCAGGACCCATCTTTTTATGAATGGACTGTAGTTACGGTGCCGGTCTTTAGTTACAGGTTTTACTCTATAATAAATATAATAATTGAGCCGTCAGATGCAAAAAGGGTGCTTATGGCATATTTTGGTCAAATTGAGATAAGGACTCAGGCAAAATCTATAGGATTTTATGCTTCACCTCCAAAAAACAGGACTCAAAAATCCAAACCCATCATGGAGATATCGTCAATTTAGTATCGCGAATATTTGCCACTTTTACGGCCTAAGTTGCAGAAAAATTGCTCTCCTGGTTGGCCGGAAAAATCACGGAATAAAGCTGGTGGCCACAGTTCTTGGTAAGTAAGTGTAACTGAGGTGAACACATTGGCATCATTAAAGCAGCAGAAGTGACTAATCACAGTTTACCTTGGGCCAGAAACACCAGCTGGGTTACAATTGCAAAGTAAAATCAGCATTAAATATCACGCTCTATTTACAGCAAGAATTATTGTTGTTCCTCCTCACCAGCAAATGAATAGCTAAACGACTGCCACTGTCTTTTTTGCCCTTGGAGTTTACTTCAGCTGAATATCTTCCAATTTCAATAAGTCCCCGTAAGATTGCATTCCTTCTGCTCCTTCTCCTTCTCCATCTCCATAAAATTCAACCTGCTCTCCGCAATTCGAGCTGACGAAAATTGTTTGAGGCACTCATCTCGACATCCACACGCAGGAATCGCTTGCACAGGAGCTGCTGTTGCTGCTGCTGTTGCCGCACCAGCCCACGCTTGCTCCTGGGAAGATCAGCCACCAAAAAAGATCTCCGTAACTTCAGCAACATTGATTTCGATTGGTTCTGCATTGTCCTCTTCTTCATCAGAAATTGCATCGCTGTTTTCGGGTGCTGCACTTTCGCTCGGGTCAAATACCTCGTCTGGCTCGCACTCTGAGTGAGTCGCCAAAACCTTCTACATCCATGTCCTGAAGAACTTTGGCTAAAGCCTCATCCACAGTAAAGTAAGACTGCCTGCTCATCTTGAAATTTGTAATAGAACAGAGAAGTCCAGCAGGTCAGGAGACGAAAGAATTATTTCGTTCAAAATCAGAACGGAGCTCGCGCCAACAAAAAATGGCAGTTTCTTTTGTATGGAACTCCACCGTGCTTTGCCGTACCAGGCTGGTTGAAGTATCTACGGAAAGCGGGGAGTCTCAGCAGTGCGCTAGTTAACATACCAGCGCTGTGGGATGCACACTCACACTGCAACGATCGAAAAATGACGTCACGTCAAGATTCACTCATGCACGTGACAGGTACATGACAGCCTGTCACTCTGACGCACTTTACTCGATTTGCTGTGTGATGCCATAAGCACCCTTTTCGCATCTGACGGCCATATTTGAGGCGCATTGTTCACCACATTTACAAAGAGAGGAACATGCAATTTTCTGGGAACATCTTTGACAGCAAAGTGACGCTGCATGAGCACGTGCTCAGTTTATCAGAATAAACAAACCAGTGATCCGAACAAACAGTTTCACGCCGAGCACTTTGGCCAGTACTCACCTGCCGTGGCTCATTATAGACGTTGAACATAACTTTGCCGTGCAAGAGCGACGGATTACACCACAGTAAAAACTGGACACAATGAATGCTGCCATAGTAGCATGCTGCCAGTATCAGAAGAGCCTGAGTATGCAAGAGCAAATGTGCACACACGCACAAACAAGCACACAGATACGTACGTACATACATGCACATACGCACACGCTGACATGCACACACACACACACACACACACACACACACACACACACACACACACAAACACACACACACGCACACACAAACACACACACACACACGCCCACACAGACACACCATTAAAACACATATTTTGCACGCACGTATGCACATAAACACTCACACAGGCGCGTGCGCACACACCGCACACACACAAAAACACACATACAGATACATACACACATATACACACACATACACATACCAAACACACAAACAAACAAAACAAACAGATGAAGATACACACCTGCTAGCATGTTCAAACACACGTACACCCAAACACACAAAATAGCACAGACAAACACAAACACACGGACATTTGCATGCTCGCACATACACGCACGCACACACACACACACACACACACACACACACACACACACACACACACACACACATACACACACACACACACTCAGAACTAAGAACTCAGACATGCCGATCATCACGGAAGCGATGATAGCTAACAGCTATGTTAGACATAGCAAATTGAGCTAGGATTACACCATTCAACAGCTTGCAAGGATGATGATTTAACCGCAACTAATTTTAGCCTGGTGTCCACCGCACAGCTGATTGAAGTGGCTTTTTCTGGCCAGTGAATCCCTATTTTTCATTTTCTTTCTCTACTTTTACACACAGAGAGACACACACACACACACACACACACACAGAAACACACACACACAAGCTAGCACACTCAATTACGCACATACCCACCCAAGTATGTACGCACACTCCCGCATACACATGTGCACGCACACGCACGCACACACACACACACACACACACACACACACACACACACACACACATACACACACACACACGCACACACATTTGTACTTGCTCACTGCCAAAACTGGTCACGTGAGTCTCACCGAAGAGGGGAGAGAAACTCCAAAGGAATGTTGGAAAGATGACTCAATTAGCTATTGAACCGCCCAACGGCCTACACCCCTGAAATCCGCAAACTAGCGTGGACTTGAAAGTATCCAACTTATGGGCTCACCACACCTCAGTAAGTGGGGAGGACAAGGTGACGAAAAGGATTGATGGCATCAAGGTATCCGTCCCGGGATCCAACTGCAGTTACCTCTGCCCCCAGTGAAGGTAACACTTGGTACTAGTGCGGGTGGCTAAATATAATGTAGTTTGGTCCTACAGATGGATCGCGGCACGGTGATCACGGCACGGCGGCACGGTGCCAACGAGTGAGAAAATCATTTGGCGTGATCGGCAAAAGCATGTCGAAAGCGTTCAACACACTATCCAGGCACCGTCTGCTCACTATATTAGCTAGCTTCCTTGAGAATGATGAGGTCACCATTATGTCCTAGCTACTCAGGAACACGTCCCTTTAGGTCCGGTTACCTGGAGGGAAGAGCGAGCAGTTCCAGACCACCTGAGGTACACCACAGGGTGACTCACTATCACCTGTCCTATTCATTATCTACCTGGAGGCAACGCTTTGGGAGGTGAGACAGATTAACTGCGCAAGACCCGATCTAGATCGTCTGACTGCAAATGTATTCAAGAGCTCCTGCCCGACATTGCAAAGTGCCTCAAAGCCTGGGACCTCAACATCAATGAATATAATACAGAACTCACAAACATCATATGGCTCAATGACAGAGTGTGCGGGGAATGGCGCCTCACCATTGGTGACCACGAGGATGCTGCGCAGAGAACGCAACTCGCCACAGCTGCCCTGCATCGACTCTGGGCATAATGGATATGTGGTTCCGTTGTAAACGAATCGCTGAGAGTACGGCTATACAAAAACATTCATCTTATCAGTCCTGTGCTACAACAATGGGACTTGGGGCCTCACTGGCACCGCTATGCATAGAGTTGATGCATTCCATAGACAACAACTGCCGAAGGTTATTGGCATACGGTACCCAGCTAAAATCAAGAATAGCACCCTGTGCAAGAGGACAAACTCAACACTACTTGGTATCTCGGTCCTGAGAGCCCGCTGGCGTCTTTTTGGGCACGTGCTGCGGCTGGACCAGAGTGCACCGGCGAACCTGTCAATGTGCTCCTACTTCAAGCCATCCACTGAGCCTACCTGGAGGGGCAGGCGGGGCACAACTCTGGCTGTCGTGCTCAGACACCATCTCGAGCTGGTTGGGAGGACCCTCAAGACCTCGGCGGATCTTGAGGAGCTGAGGAGCATCGCCCAGAACCGCGGGGCGTGGAGCTACCTTTGCGGCCGTATCCTAGAGAGATATGCTACTGCTCACGGAGGGTCCCTGGCAATGATCAGCAAATTCAAATTCAACTCGGTTGAGCTGCTTGTTTGCTTGTTTTAATTGTATTCTATTTTCGTCAGGCAAGCACCTAGAATTAATTCCTTGTTTCGGGTCACTTCACTCATCCGTACCAGGGTAGGACGGTCGGGTTTATTTTTTATTTTATTTTTTATTTTAGTTGCGGGCAGGGGTGTATGCATGTACAATTGTGCATATTGAATAGCTTTTCTCGATCAAGCCAGTCGATCAAATCTGACTGTAGTCGATCCATCGTAGCCATTGTCCCAACAGATCAAGGTCCGGGGCCACGTCCCCTCCAGGACCAGATCTTTGCCTCGCTGGCAAACGAGTCTGACGAGCAGCTCTCACCGAAGTTCTTGAAAACTTCTGTCAATGAGCGACGCAGTGGCGGAGCTGATGCTGTTTCAGGACCGATTGCGAATCGGAGATACAATGTAGAAGACAACGTCGTCACCAAGTGCTGCAGACAGCTTCTGACTCTGAAGTCGATGTCTGGACTGCTATACATATTTTGGGTCGTGTGTGTACATAGTCTACCTTGTAGTCATGCCCATTTGCATGCACTAAAGAAATTGCGGTCGGATGAAAAAAGACGGTCGGTCGGGTGACCCGAAACAACGAATTAATTCTGGGTGGCCTCACGCGATTTATATCGCATATGTTTTTATATCGCTATCAATATCCTGTTTGGCTGTTGTCGCTTCGGCTTATGCGAAAGCTGTACATGCTGTGAATATTTACATTGCATTTATGCAGACGCGAAGAACCTTCTAATAACAATACTTCAACATGCCAATGTCCACTCGCAACCATGGAATCGCGGCTCATCTAGCTCCTCCTGAGCCTGCCTGGACTGATAAATCTGTAAAGGCAGAAACAACTCGAAATAGCCGTTTCCTTTGACCGGGAAACAGTGAGAGTCTACGAGGAGGGCAGCGTAGGTGACAGCCTTGCAGACGACGAAAGACTCACCAATGCAGCCTCCACAGGTCGTCCGCTCAGGCAATTACAACCCAGGGAGCGGTTCCTACCTGAGATGCCGCACCCAGGTAGGAATGTTCGTGCATCCAACATTGGCGACAACGCCCAATTCGAGCGAAGGCCATCAGGCCACGGACTGTTTGACAACGATAGCCGAACCCCTGGCAGCGGCCCGCATTGCAGGACCTGCCAGTCAGTAGGCATTGCTCCCAGTTCGGCCGAGGCAGTAGTCGCCAACCACACTGGACTCAGCAACCACCAACCACTGCTGGAGCTCGTCCACGGATGGACGGAGCATGAGTTCCCGGACTGGCTGGAGTCTGACGAGACAAGTGCTTGTGACAGTAACGTTCATGGGGACACAAAGTCTGTATATACCTGATCCCCCGTGTGTCATTTTCCTGTGCCTGGGTGTGTGGGTGTGTGCGTGCGTTTTGCATATGCCTTGTTCAGCGTCCTCCCCCTTCTGGACGGAACTAGCATCCATACAGAATCCAGTCGTTCAGCACCTGGTCGAGGTTCGACCGTTCGTCCTGCTGAGTGACGTGGCACCATCTACAGGCAGGGCATATCTGCAAGCATTCGGTCGCTGGTGTACGTGAGCTTCTGGGGCCGGATTCACCCCTTTCCCAGCTCACGCAGTACACGTGTAGTTATACCTAGCGAGTTACATCCAACAAGCCGCTATGTTTGCCCCTGTCTGACAAGGCTGCGTGGCCATATGTTGGTTGCACCGTAAGACTGGTCACCCGGATCCGATCGCGGAACCAGTCATCACGTAACTGCAAGTCGCCGCTCGCCGTATCTGTGCTCATCCCGTCTCCCACTGCACTCTGATCTCACAGTCCTTGTTCCGTCAGCTGATGTCCACCCTGGCCCAACCAGATGCGTAACTGGGGGATCTGCGATGTATGACCATGATTTGTCTTAGGTTCTTTGCCCTACTGCCCTGGGACTTGCATCGTCTTGTGGTGTCCTCGGTGGATTCTGTTAGCTGCTCCCGGCTAATGATGCCCCCTCACACCGGAACACAGGGGTTTTATATGATTGGATAATTTATAGAAGTATTCGATAAGAGTGTAGACAGAAGGAGAACAGGACAACGACAACTCAAGACTAGACTACAACAGAACAGAACTGGAGCATGCGCTCTTCTATGTGAGTGGCTCATTGCCAAGAGGAACGAGCGGGAAATACGAATAGTGAGTATTCAGGTCGTAGCATACATACTCCTATTAAACAAGCAGCTCGGCGCATTCCGTATCACCGTCGCGTTGCTCTGCAGACGTTATTGGATGAGTTACTAGAGAAGGGTATCATCCAAGAGTCCATCAGTCCGTGGGCGTCTCCGATCGTGTTGGTTCCTAAGATTAACGGTTCCTTACGACTTTGCCTTGACTATCGCAAGTTAAACGGTGTCACAAAGCCGGACGCCTATCCGATTCCACGGGTGGATGACATGCTTGATTCACTGTCTGGTTGTAAGTGGTTTTCGTCGCTCGATCTCGTGTCTGGGTATTGGCAGATTGCGATGGATCCTGACGACCGAGCGAAGACCGCATTTACAACACCATTGGGCCTGTATGAGTTTACAGTGCTGCCGATGGGGTGCAGGAATGGTCCTCC